AGTGAGGTGTTCAAAACTCTGAATGTGTTTTGATGATGGAGCTATGGTAATAGCCTTGGACATGCACTGTGCTGTGCTTACCGAGCAGCCATGCAGAACCTCGGGGGGAACCACTGGATTTTGGGAGGTAGAATATATTTGCATGATTCATAGACAGAGGAGCTGTTGGTTTGGATGCAACTGAGCTTGATTTCTTCTCTGGCTGTTTGAGAGTCAGGCATCAAAGCAGCTCGTTTATGTCAGATATTTTCTGCAAATGTCATACAGCAGAGTTAGATCCATTATTGCCTGTGCATCAAGCGTGGAGGCTCTGTTGTTACCCTGATGAGACTTTAAAAATGTTCTTATTGAATAAAAAGCATTGACAGGGACCGCAGGATTCACCTGGTCCCATCTCAGAGAGAATGGGGCATTTGCTTAAATTCAGTGCTCCTCTTCAGGGGCTACTGACTTACTAGAGTTACTTTCCTTCCACCAAGGGAGAAGTTTGCTTTTAACAACTGCCTGGCATATCTACCATCAGACTGTCCAGCACTTTGAGATTGCGAGTCTAGGTTTCTTTTGATGGTTGTTAATGCCAGCTCATAATCCCCATGCTGCAAGGAACTGCTTAGCTCAACAGCTTGGGCTTTGTTTGGAGGGTCATAAGTGTCCTCCTGCACTTTCTTGGGATTGGCATGCAGGTTTACAGGGACCATAAATAAAACAGCTGTTGGAGCCATTGGTTACTGCCCCATGCTTTATTCTCCATGGGGATCAGCAGCTAAACTGGGGGAAGCAAAGAAGAGTTCTTGCACTTTCCTATTTCAGACATTTTTAGATTTCTTTTACCTTTCTCTCTGCACCTCTCCCCAAGTTCCTTGTTCTTGGAGTCTGCTTTATATCCCTCTAAGGAAGTGGCCATGTATTGTTTCTAAGGAGTCTGTAACAAAAGAACTGAAATGCCCTTTCCTGTTAGCAGAAAGAATGAAGGTGTGTGCTGTGGTCTGCAAGCAGCAGGGCTGCAGGGCTGCAGACCCTACAGGTCCCTGGTTTGCTTCTACAGGATCTGCAGAAGGAATCTGATAAAAGCAAGTTTATTGTCAGGAGACCCCAGCTCCCTCTCTGGGGACATGCACCACAGTGGAAACTCTTTTTGAAGACTGAAAATTAGAGGTTTGAAACCTCCACTCTGTAGTTTCTAAACTGCTCCTGGAGGAGTGTGGGTGAGAGTGTGGTGGCCCCAGGTCTCAGCATCTACAGGGAGGGAAGTGCTGGGACCAGCCTAGCCAGCATCAGAAGTGGCATGCAGAGCTGTCAGGAAAGAGAGGGGCTTTTCACAGGGAGACCCTCACTGGTTTGTAAGCTCTGACAAGGATACTGCTTTGATGTACCTTTTGTTCCTACACAGTTCTCAGTGCCATTAAAACTCAAGCTGGTGTCCCAGCACAGGGCACTCATCTGCAATGTTGCTGTATGCTGTCTTCCCATCAAAGTTACACTTTGTGCTTTAGGGACCCCGAGCAAGTTACTGTCTTTCCCATGGATTCGTGGAGCTGTGGAGTGTCACATTCTGACAAGCACCACTGCTTTGCTGTGTTGCTGGAGATAAAAGTCTGGGTGATGCTATGGTACTGAGTGAGACATCAGGGGCCAGATGGATAGGAGGAGGCCTGCCCTGTGAGCTGTAGGAGCCCAGGACAATGTGGCAGGTTGTATGTCAGTGAATATCTAAATATGCTTGTCCACCACATGTGGAAAGTTGTACAAATATCAGCCCTCATAAAAAATGGTGATCTGCACCAGGTGCCTGATGTCTGGGTGGCAGCTTTGCCTTGGTGCTGCTGGATGAGTGCCTGCCCTGAGAAAGGTTCCCTGTGGAGGCACCTGCTCTCCAGGGAGAGGGTTTAGATGTCTCTCTGGCCATCCTGGCTCCCTGTGAGTCTGATACTCAAGTTACACGTGGGCTTGCATGGCACTTCTGTGGGTCATATACTCAGAAAGGGCTCATACTGCAAAACCTGAAAGGCTGTCTTTGGATGTAGGAAATGATACATAGTCTGGAGGGATAAGGGCCACCGGAGCAGTGGGCTGAAGAGAAGTTGTGTGCTGCTGGTGATTCTCTGGGGTGGGAGATCCAGCTGGATCCTACTCCATAATCCTTAATCCCAGGACCTGAGACAGCAGGGCAGCTCATGGGACTAGGAGCTGCAAGGGAGAGCTGCACGTTTTCATTCTCCCATTCTTTGGGCAGAAAGCCCTGTGCCAAGCCCCAGGCAGATCTGCAGATGGAGCTGGTCACATGCAGTTCTGCTGCTTTACAAAACTGCCTCAAGTGTTGTGGGAAGGTTTGTGCCCCCTTTAGGTTACTCCCAAAGCACCAATAACAGTGTTGGCCTGACCCTATTTTCCCTCTCTCCTGCGGGTGTCTATAAGCCTCTAAATCAAAACCTCTGAAGTCCTTCCTAACGCCCGTGGCCCACCCCTCCATCTGGAGTGTCTGACAGCTGATATGAGGCTGATGTTTCCAGCTGAAGTACTGAAATACTTTGTTCTTTTCCATGATTCCCTTGGCAAAGGAAAAGAAGCCCATTTGTTTAGAAGCTCATAAAAGAAGAGCTTTATAGTAGGAACATTCATAAACTTGTTTGCTTTTGACCTTCTCCACATTGCTGATGATTTCAAGTTCTTGTCCCAGGCATTGTGCTTGCCTGGGCTGTCAGTGACATTTTTGAAAAACAGCCTCACCCAGAGTAATTTGCATTGCTCAGCTCTCAGCCTGCAGACAGGCCATCTTTCTCCACTGCAATGTGAGGTGGGGGTGTGCATGCGTGATACATTGACAGCCTCATAGAACTGTAGCACCCACCTGGCTGCTGAAAAGGGGCCACTAATTCCATGCTGGTTTTTTTTCTAGATTTATTGATGCTACTCAACCAGTGGGCATTTCCCAGGCTCTTAGGTTACTGAGCATTGAGCTTGTGCTCTTGGTGAGGTGGGGGGGAGATGAATCATGCCCTTAAATTGATAACGATGTACTCTGTGAAGGCAAGCAATTAGATCTTCAGTGAGTGCAGGTCATAGTGGGGATGATAGGCTTGAAAGAGAGCTTGTTCCTTCTCAGAGATAGTAAGACAGCAGGCGTAAAGTACAAGCCAGGATAGCCACCTTTGTTTATGCCTAGAGGTAGGAAGTTGGGATTACCTTGGCTGGAGTGTGGGACCTCAAGTGTCAGGTATAGATTCAGAATTTAATGCTGGCATCTGATATTCTGAGCAGATAAAAAGGAAATACTTTTTTCCACCTATGCTCCTGCTGACTGCACAAGGATTCTCCAAACTGCAGATCCTCATCTGTAGACGATATTTGGATTCCCTTCTTGAATTATGCTGTCATGGATTCTTCAAAATATGCTTGAGAACCCTGTCCACTTTTCAAGCTCTTTCCCATCTGGAAAAGTCTTATTTTACTTCAGTCTGCAAGAGTCTTCATCATCTTGTTTTCAGCATCTGTAAAATGTTTGCACAGTTTTCCTGCCCAGACCAAGGGTATCACAAATTGCTGGATGTTGAGTCCTACAAAGACAGAGAGACTCATGAGACTGCCTGGGATGTGTGCTTGTACATTTCCCAGCTCTTTGCTATACATGGATTCAGATAAAATTCACCAACTCATTGGTGTGTGTTGGGAAAGTGCATTTACTGATTTGATACAAAACCTTCCACACTCTTTGGAATAAGCTTTTATAGGGTAACTCTATCCGATTTCAGATAATTCCTAGATTCAAATTGTGAGCATGGCACAATGTTGAAATAATATGTCTCATCTGCCTGATGCTGGTAAACAAGACACAGCTGGCAGGAGATGTACAAGTAGTTCAGTTCTAATTTCCCCCATATTCCCACTGTACTTGTTAGCATAAAATATTCCCTTCTTTATTTTTTTCTGAAGACAGAAAAGGGAAAAGAAACATAAGACTGAAAGTCTCCATGGTGGATTCAAAGTGGGAGTCCAGCACGCTGGAGACTGCTTGCTTCAGCACCAGGGAAGAGAGAGAAGTTATGTTTTATTAGCCTTTGCAGGCTGTATCAGTGACAGAAGCTAATTGCAGTTATTGGGAGATAATGTTAACACATCCTCTCAAGTAACTACCTCTGTTCCCTCTGGAGTCATGATGAAACATGCATTATCATGCAGCTGGTGATGTGGCAGGTCTGTGTCAGTGCTGTATCAGTGGCGTCGGCCTGAGTTCCATGCCAGTGGAAATCCCACCTGACCAGGGCCCTGGGTCTGTCTCCCTCCACACTCACCTTTCCCATTTAGCCAGTCTTTACCTGTCACTTCTCTCCATGCTGTGTGAGAAGGATGTGTGTACAAGCATAGCATCCGAAGCAGCTGGGCTGGAGTGGTCTGCCAGCGCCAGGCTGTCCTCTGCTGTGCATTTGCCTGTGCTTCCCCGGCTTTACCCCAGGGCACACCCTTAATTATACTGTCCATGTTCCCATCACTTTCCTATTAATTACTGGTTTGAGTCTTTAATGTTATTATTAGGCTGGAAATGTTGGGAAGCTCTGCAATAAGGAGTAATAAGTTTTGCTGACAGCATTCCCTGTTTTGTGCATCAATCCGTGTTAGACTGTGATTTAACACCTGGTTGTCTCATTACTTGCAACACTGAGAAGGGACATTAAGACCTGTGGGGTTAGCAATGCTGGCTCTGAGCCTTCTCCAGTCTGGATCAGCTGAAACCTTGCTGAGGGTCTTGGGAAGACCTTGCACCCACGGCAGGGAACTGGTCCTCTCTCCATGAGTCTCTGCAGGAGGGGGACAGTCCCTCAAAGGCAGCTTCAGCACGCTGGTTACTTGAAAGAGGACAAAGACCCTGACTGCAGATGGTAACTGTGTGCTGAGGCTGCCTTTCCATGGGACGTTTCCTCTCTGATTTCTCCAGCCATCGTTCTGTGCTGAGTGCTGTTCTTGCCTGATTAATCCCTTTTGTGTTCTTTTCTTTTTTTCCCCAGGCCCATGTGTTTGATCTGAGCATTAATAAGTATGAAGCTCTCTGCACCCAGCTAGTAGTGGCCAAGAAGAAAAATAAAATAACCCATATCCAGTTTAACCCTGTCTACCCTGTTGTCATCATTGGAGATGAACGAGGCCACATTACCTCCTTGAAGCTCTCTCCCAATCTGCGCAAGATGCCCAAGGTAAGGACGACCTGCATGTGCCCTTAATGGAGGTAGCAAACCACAGCAGGTTTCTTCATGCCTTATCACTGTCCCCTCTCCTGTGGAATGATGTTGGCAAAGCTGATCTCTCCAGCAAGGTGTTTAAGATTGCCTCAAGCCTTTGAGGTAGGATGTCTGGGATGTTGGATCCCTGCCTCTGTTCCTGTAGGAGTAAGAAGGCTCAGTTCACCCCTGGGCAGGAGCAGGGACTGGTGAGAAGGGGGTTTGCTGTCTGTTGGTACTTTCTCACCATGGTCCAGACAAGCCCAGAAGCTCTGCAGAGGCTCATTTGTTTCCCAAAGCTCACATCTTTTCTGAGCTTTGAGTTTTATTTGGAAAACTCCTTGAGACCAAGTAAAGGAGGTTCCAAACTCCTTCCCAAATCCTCCTACAGAGCCCATGCTGCCTGTCTTCTTGTGCTCTTGGATCATCGGAGCCTACCCCCTGACCACTGTGTCATCTCTGCTGTAAATGAGCAAGTACTGTCTTTAATTTGTGAGGAGGCTTGGATCCTTGTCTCAAGTGACAGCAAGGAGATGCACATGCCTCTGTGAGATGGTGAAGCCCCTTTTCCCACCCAACCATGAGGGCCAGTCATGAAGGATGATGGCCTCTCCCACAAGGATCCTTTACTAGACTTTCTTTCTGGGCTTCCTCCATCTATGAGCTGAATGGCTGTAAATGCAGTGTCCTTTCTGAGCCCATATGATTCTCATATCCAGTTGCCTCTTTTTTAGCGGAGCTTTTTCAGTTTCAGGCTTTATAGAACTGATCCAAGAAAGCAATCTCTCAAGATTATAATCTTTATGTACCCCCAAAGGTTTATATACTCTACTAACCCATGGTATTAGGCAGAGTCTTTGACCAGGAACTGATCACACTGGTGTCATTCCAGAGTCTTCTGAGTGATTTTTTTAGAGTTCCTTCAGCTGGACACCATTGGAAATGTGAATATTCCCTGTACTGAGAGGTCATAGAAAACACAGTAGTGTGGCAGTCTGTTTGGGGCTGGGCATGGAAGCTGTGGAGGAGAATGTCTTACATGCTTCACACTTTTCTGTTTCCATTGAATCCACAGCCTGAGACCATCCAGGCTCTCATGGCTGTCATCAGCTTGGCTCAGGACAAGTTTCCTGGTTGTTTGATGAATCCTTCTGGGGCATGGCCAAGCGCTGTGTCTGCCAAAGACCCTGGTTGCACAAGGGTTCAACAGTGGAGATGAATGACACCCACATAAATGTGGCTGCTCTCCTCTGCACCCCAGCTGTGGGGTGAGTATCCACCAGCAGTACTGCACTGTGGGTCAGAATGAGTTCAAATGTCTCCTTCCTCCTGGTAGCCAGCAGCAGTCCTCTGTGCAGGTATGAATGTCGTCATCTCCCTTTGCCAGCTTTCTTCAAAGGCAAATAATTGCGTGTCTTTGACAAAGCAGTCTAAACTGTGAGTTCAGGAGTGGCTCAATCACTTACTGCTGACCTTAAACCAACAGGTACCATATCCCCAGCAACATATAAATGAGATGGAAATGGACTCTGCTGCTCTGATGTTATTAAGCTATCTGTCTTCTGCCTGCTCGGCTGGGTTTGAAAGCACACTAAACACTGAACTAAATGTTTCCTGCACATGCAGAGAAGGAGGAGGGATGTTCAGGCATGGTTGGCATTGTGTGAAGGTCCCCTGGCTACAGCAGCTCTTCTCTGAAAGAGATGAGAATTTAAAATGGATGACAAGCAGTGTGGTAGCAAAGTGGTGGATCTGGCCCAGCCAGCTCAGCTACCTTGCTGTGCCACAAGTGGACAAGTGAGCTGGGTCCCCAAGCTCATCTTTCGTGGCTGATGTGGCATCTCCTGCACCAAATGCCAGTGTCCAGGACCCTGTGGTGAGGAGGTTTAGCTGCTGCAAGAGTGTGTCTTAAACAGAGGGAAATCAACCTCTGGCAGAACAGGCAGTGACATCCACTGCATCCTCCTGTCTGACTCCTTGCTGTGCCAGGACCAGCCTTTGTGTCCTTAACTAGCAGCAAACCTCCAGCCATGTTTGCAGGAGTGTCATCTCACTGTGGGGAGTCAAGTGTACTTCCAGAGTATTGATCCTGGCTCCTCTGAAGATCAAGTCAGCATGCTCTTTAAACCTTTACCCTGTGCAACCAGCTTTCCTCTGTAAAATGACTTCACTTCTCCCTCTTTTCTGGGAGCCAAGTTAACAGTTACAGAATATTCATAGTTTTTATAAGTGGAGAGGGTCCAAAACTGTGCAGAGGAGTCCTGGAATCCCAGCTGTCTCCTCACAGATAAAGAAAACTGTCTGTGCCTGGCTTGGTCCCTGAGTACTCCAGTATGGCCTCTCTGGCACTTGATCCCCGCAGCTCCCAGTGGGAAAACCTGTCTGACACCCAGGAGGAAAAGCTATGGCCAGTGCTTCTGGAGCTTGTGACCTTCACACCAACCCCAGCATGTGTGAGGTCAGATGGTCTTGTTCCCACCAATACCTTAGGAGATGGGAAGGTACCTTGCTGAGGTCTGTCAGAACACGGTGTGCCAATGGGAAGGGGCAGTCAGAGGCTCATCCACATCTCATGGTCCCTCTGTTTTACACTGGTGCTATAGGGGTTTAGCTGTGAAGCTTCTCCACCAGGTTCCCACACAGCTGGGGCAGCTGCTTTTGACAGGTATGACTAGCAGTCTAATCACTCTTTTTTGAGAGAGCTCTTAATAGCCACATGCCAATCCCTCTGTCCCCTAAAAACAGATGTAATGCTGTCTGCTCCATGTTCTGCAGATTCCTTGGCTGTCACTAGGCTTCCAAGATAGGGCTCACCAAGAAAGACTGAGCTAACTTCATCCCAGTGGGATTTCAGCCATTCTGAATTTATTCTGGTTTGCCTGTTAGTTAAAGCTGCTGCGGTGGGTAAGTTGAAATAAGCAGGGTAAGGACCTCCTGAGTTCTTGTCAGACCTTGATTCATTCCTCTTTTCATGTCCTTGAGTGAGGAGGAGAGGTTTAAAAGCGCTTTAAATAATTTGCACGGTTGATCTGCAGCTTAATTAATTCATGTTTGTAAAACACTTTGGGATCTTTTAAGAAGTGTTATTTAATACTCTGAGTTTTGCTGTCAGCAGCATTAGCGCAGCCTCATTTATGAACATTTGGCAGAACAAATAAGCCAAGGGGGGATCTTCTTGAAAGCACTCAGGTAGCATTTTCAGAAGTGGCTTTCACCAAGACACATAGAAAAACCTTCCAAAAATGCCTAAAACTCCATGTGAGTTTAGGCCTCCTAAATCATTTAGTGGCACATGGGCAAATGTGCATTTGCTATTGAGAGGAAGCTGGGGACAGGGGCTCTGCCACCCATCAGGCACTTGTGTCAAGGGCACATCTGTGTGCACAGAGGGTACAGAGGTCCCTGTGCTCTTGCCAAGCACAGCAGGTGTCCTTGTGTATTTGCCCTGGTGATTTGGGTCCTGAAACCCTCCCTATTCCCACAAGGAAACCTGGTGAAACTAGTTGGGGTCCCTCTGCTCAGAGCTCAGAGGTGGGGCAGAAATCCTTGCAGTATTTTAAGGTGCAACAGCAGGAACAAGTGGCTCTCTACTGTCATCCAAGCTGCTTTTGGACTCCAAGCACTCCTTAAATATTGCATTGGTTGTCAGGCAGGAATTGTTTAACTAATAAAGTATTGTTCCTAATTTGTAACAACCTTAGTGGTTGAGTTCACCCGAGGGAAGCATTGCTGTAAGAAGAATCAGTTTGGGGCAGAGGTGTTTAATTAGTAAGCCTTTTGGGTTTCATTTGAGAGTTGGAAGAAATTAAAGCATTTTGTCATCACAGCGAGAAGAATGTAGCTGCTCATGGGCTTTGGTTTGTTTCTAAAAAACTGCTAAAATAGCCTGGAACAATCCCTGTCAATGCCCAAAGCAAGCAGGTGATAGTGAAAAAAAGCGTGAAGAGTTTTTAGAAGTGTTGAGAGACCACAGCAGAGTGGGAGGAGAAACAAAAGCAGGTCAGAGAAAGGTTACAATACAACATTTGCTGAGACTATTCTTGGCCAGTACCCAGGCTGACATCCAGGGAGGCAGCCAGCTTCTTGGCCTGATGCTTGTCTTGGATATTTATCTTGGATTATCTAGGATTGTTATCTCAGTCTCTCTTCCTGCTACTGGTTTCTTCACATGCAAGTCACCTCTTTCTCTGTCCCTTGGGCACAATCAGATTCTTCCCAGGCAATAAATCCTGGCGGAGAGGGTCTAGCTGGGAGTGAGTGGAATGAGAAGGGGAGCATGGCTTCTCACCCATCCCAGGATGCAGAGGCAAGGCAGTGCGTGGGTCAGGAGTGGCAGGCACACACCTGTGAGTCCAATGCTGGGTGCCTGTGAGCAGCTTGTGGTGTGCAGACAAGCGAGGGGGCATGGGGTGGCCGTGAGCCTTCCTATCCATGTGCACATTCTGGGTGTTTGCTCCACTCTCTCTGTGCCTTATCATACCAGTCAGTGTCACCTCCAAACTCCTTGTGCCTCCCTGCCTCTTTGCAGCCCTGATGATTTTGTCCTTGGACAGATCCAACCCAAGGTTGCTAAGCCAAGGCAGTGACCACTGAGTTTTTGTGCCTGAAGTACTTTGGCTCTTGGACCATAGCTGGTGGCAGGTTCTGTAGGGAGGACTGTAATGAACATGGGAGGATGTTGGGGTTTTCAGGAGGTGAAGGAGGGAAGGTGTTTTGGGGAAGACTGATAAAGTGTGTAAAGTCTTATGAAAACAGTGGCTGAAATCTCTTCTTCAGCCTATCCCCCTCCCAGCACTGCCTCCTTCACTATCTCCTGGGGCTTAAGGTTTCTTCCTCCTCATACTCCCCAGCAGCATCCACTGCTCACAGTGCTTTCTCAATAAGGGACCCTGGTTTTATCCCTATGCCCAGCCTTGGTGGGATGCTACTCAGGTCCAGAGCTGGTACTAAGCTAAGACAGTGTGAATGAGCAGTGG